TACTTTCTCACATCCGGATATTATCAAATGATAATATACAAATTTATAATTACGGAGATAAAAAGAGTCCGAAGGAAAATAGCAAAAGAAATGGCACCTACAGATATTCGGCAGAATTAGAAAAATTTTGAAATTACAGGAATTAAGGAAAATTAGAAAAACTAAAGAATAGGGAAATATAATCAAACTCGAACCATTAAATCATACAACTTTCGCGTTTTGGCACCATAACATGATCCTATCAGTATGAAGGCTCAACCTGCGATCAACATTCCTACCTTTTTATGCGTTTTGTGCCGTGCAAGAGCCGCACAAAACGCATATTGTCACGTGGTTGTCTGTCTTGTTTGTGTGTATGTCTAAAGCATGCCAAGGTCTCACGCTCGACCGCGTGAAAGTTTTGTCTCAAAGATCATTCGAAAGCCAGAAAATTAGGACATCGAAATTCTGGAGAGATATTCACCCTTCAAGATTTCAAATTCAGCTTTCGCGTACATATGCGTGAAATTTTTAACTATTTTTCGACATTTCAACTATTTTTGCATAGATCAAAGTGCAAAGCAGTGAAAATCATTAACAGGCAATCGTTCGATGAATGGAATTGCACAAAACGCATGACTGCATCGGCTATTCTGGTGCGCGCTGCTATTTATTTTATCCTGACTTGCGACTTTACTCTCAAAATTCCTCAAAAATATAAACTCAAAAAAAAAAAAAAAAAACACACAAAACAGGTCAATGAAAGGTGTAGGAGAGAAGGCAAGAGTGAGATAAGACGTTTCGGTTCATTCGACTTTTTCATTTAACAAATTTTATATATAAGGGGAACAAACCTCGACCAATTCTTACAGGAACAGCAGGAGTTAGATTAGGTGGTAGTGGCATGAAGGGAGGAAAAGGAGGAGGTGTCAGAAACTGCGCAATATTCGGTTCCACTGCTGCTGGAACAAATGCTGGACGATCTGGAATTGTTTCGGTGGTGGATGTTGCTGCTAAATGCTGTTGCTGTTGTTGTTGTTGCTGTTGCTGCTGCTTAGAGGATTCCAACAAAAACCGTTTCTCCAGCTCGGCCACGTTGATTGAAACATCTATAGCCAAAAAGAAAATTAAGTTTTACATTTTCTAATCCCAATTTTGCATTAAGCAAAAAAACACAACTAGTCCCACTTTCTTATTCTAACAACAACACCAGCAACAAATGCAGTAATAATAATAATAATAATA